ATCATTCATATTTAGTAAAATACTATACATATATACAAAGTTTAATAATATACTTACTTTTTCATCAAGCAATAAAAGTTCCACACCCCTGATTACATTGTTTGTTTTAAGATTTTTAGCTTTCCACTTTCGAAGAACACGTATAATAGTACAACGATAAACACGATTTTTATCTAATTGATTTAAAGTTAGATAGCTTTTATCGATTTGTGAAATATTTGAGTATATGGCTTACTCTCGTTAAGTTAGATGAAGAAAATAGAGAAACTGAAAGGTTTTATTGTGCCGATTGAAAAAAGTTTTCAGTTATTACATAGAGTTTATTGTGTGCGTTTTTTGTTATGAAATGTGTCTGCCCAATTAAAAATATGGCATTGTTCTTTTTTTCTTCAAGTAATGATTTTATTTTTTTTGAACAAATTCTTTTTTTTTGTGAATCACTTATGTTTTTATTTTATTTTATTTATTGTTTAACTAAATGGAAATTTTTGTTTTTTTTATGTTTTATCACTTTTTGGTGAACGAATTTTATTTCCATTTTCCATTTGTCTTTTTTTCTTATCTTTTAATTACTTACTTTTACTATTTTTGAATGATTTATGTTTTTGTATTTTTTTTTGGTTTGTTTGATGTTTTGGAAATTTTGTATTTTATGTTATGACATTTTTTTTAAAAAAACGTTTTTTTTTTTTGTTTTTAAAGAAACATTTCTCTTTTATTGTTTTGTTAATTGACACATGTCATCATCTCGTTAATATTAGACACATGTCGCCATCTGATGAGTTACAATTTTGCTTACGTGTCCCGTTCTCATCGTGCGCATTCTCTTTTATATAATAAGATTAAGAATTTAAACAAAACATCCCGGCCGTATAAATAAGAGCTATCTACTCGTCAAACCAAAGCCCAAACCATTTAGAAAGCGACGCAATTAGCGAAAGAAAATTTTAAGTTTATTGAAAAATTCGAAATCCATTTGTCATGATTTCTTAAAAATGGTGGTCTATTTTTCATACGAAGTTTTTGTTTTTGGTTCTTACGAAACAGGGAAAATGGAAGTAGGAATGTGTTGAAGCCGATGGATTCTGAGCAACTGAGAGAGTACGGACATCGGAAAAACAGAGTGGCTTTGGTCTCTGATCAAGATATTGTGCATGGCGGGCAAATTAAAAAATGCTTGGGAAAATGCATATGGGTACATGCAAGCCAAGTGATCGATCGAGCGCTTTGGAAGTGGCGGTTCCGAGACGACGGAGCCAGAGAATTTGACGCCGCGGGCGAAACCTAGGGGCGAGTTTCTATGTTGAACTACAATGGTCGTATATGCTAGATAGTTTGTCCGGTCGTGTGATTGTGTGTCTCGCAGGTCATGACTTGTTAATATTGATTTAGGGGAAGTGAGTGTTAACCATCAATCTTTATAGTTTTGCCGGAGATATTTATGGCGAAACTGTTGCTTTATTCAAGGATAATGATTAAAATAAGAATGGTTTAGTACAAAGTAACCCATTGATGTGAATACTTACACTGCTAATTATCTTTCTAACGAGCTAGAAAATTAACATTAACCTGCTCAAATTTTAATGGGTTGTTTAATTAGATCAATTAGCTTAGCACCATATATCTTCATATAGTGAGCAAATTTATGTTGGTAAATGGTAATTGTTGTGTAAGTTTTGTTGCGATGATGTAATGAATTTCCATGTTAAGAACCAAATCTCTAACATACATATATATCTTTACAGAATTATTCGTTGTTGCATAATAAATATATGTATACGTATAGAATTGTTAGTAGAATTGAAATTGTCAAAAGAGATATGAATCGCAACGTGACATGCCAAACCTAAATCTTACTTTCACCGCCTCATGCATTGACCTTAATAAATATAGAATTCAGAAAAGAAAAGAAAAACAACCTGAAGAGACAATAAAATCGAGTTTTCTCCATTTAGTACAAATTTATATCGTAAAATCTTGCAACTGGATTGTTTAGCAAAAAAAAAATCTTGCAACTAGATCTCTAAGAAAATGAAAACACCAATTTGATGAAGAAATGGTTTGGTTTGGTTCTGTGAAGAGTTATAGAGAGGCGGATAGTTTAGAAAATTCAAAATTCCGAATTTGTTTTTTCATGTAATAGTGCGGTGGCGGGGTACAGTTTAGGGTTTTCCAAACTTGTGTTAAAAAAATTGCTCATAAAATGGTTTACTTATGTAAAAAATGGCAGGTAGTTGTTATCTTGAAGTGGTTTACTTATTCGGTTAAGTTATTTGATTGTAATTCTGGTTTGAGTTATTTAGACCGTCGTAAGCTTTGCTGTTATGTTGGTCTACCACCATTTTTAAGAAATCAACAAAAAGATTGTATGTTTATCTTCTTCTTCTTAAAATCTATAATTTTTGTATGTTTTATCAATCGCAGATTCCAAGTCCTTCGGGGTGATCCGTGATCATCTTATAGGTTGTGATTTCCCCTACTTGGTGAGTTCTATATCGGATTTAACTATCACTCAACTATCTTGTTACAATTTAACATTCATAATCCCCTAAATACGTTACAATTTTTATGACTCATCTGTTTATTATAAAAAACTCTCGTCTATGTTGACGTAAGCTTAGTCAAA